CTCGGGCCCACGTCCCATCATGGCCTCTCGAGAAGAACGCATGAAGGGGATCAGTCGCCGACGCTCGGCCTCAATTTATCAGCCTCAGCATCCTCTCCTATCTCTCTCAGATACTTCACCGAGTCGTCGGTAACTTGTACCTACTCCTCTATAGTCAACACGATACAGGGCCATGCTTCCATACGAACCACCCGGGTACAACCCCACCTACCGACACACTGGACAGGAGTCGCTCTTTTCCAACCAAGGTACCAAACAGTCCCTATGGAAAAAGTGCTCACAGGGTAGACTAGTACAGTTAGAATCTTCAGCATCCTCCTTCTCGAACTCCATAGTACCTATCATCACTTAAAACACTTCCAACTCTTGCCGTTATTACATATACTGCACTCCGCAACTGAAGACTCTATCAAATCATCAGCCTTCATCTCCGTCTTCACTCGCTTGGGAGCCACTGGCAGGCGCTCTATGAACGCCTAGCCCCCAAAACATAGCCCAACGTTCATCATCATTCTCACCATACTACTTTGCATGTGCATGGATTGGCCTCATCCTGCTGACGTCTGTTCATCGCATTGGAACTTTCTTCCGTCTGTGAGCGCTCCGCTCCTGCTAGCATCATCAGGGTATGTATCAAGTCATCAGCCGGGATCCTAGCGGCCTCTACGAAGCTGAGAAAAAAAAACCGTAAAGAACGTCCTTCCTTCAGTCGCCTACCCTCCATTGCACTCAGGGCACTTGTTGTCGTCAGTCAATCTAGGTATGCTCTTACGGCACTCATGACAATAGTATCTGGACAGGACTACTCAGCCCTACCACTGCACCCTCCTCCCCCCTTACGGGTTGGAAGCTCCTCGGCCTCCACCTCCTATTCTCATAGTAAACCCTCTCCTGCCTCCACCACTCCGGTCATCACCATCATTACCACCGATTCTAGCAGCAGCATTACCCGAATCCCGAGAGGCATCATCCATTGTTAACCTCTCAACTACCATTCACAACGCTCACACTCAAGCCCGACAAAGGCAGCAAAAACGCAAACACCCAGTAGGATGTGAGACCCCTTATCGCTACTAGACAAGGAGATTGCCGTTGCCGCTTCTACACGCTATAAAGGGATGCTCAACTACTGTATTGATGATGGGCCCTTTGTTATTCCCCTCAGACTCCTCCGATACTCAACAGCATGAGGACCGTGAGCAATATGTAGAAATTCTTGCTGCTCGGCAAACGCTCAATTTCGGGGCGCGTGACGGTTGTCTCCCAACAAAGCAAATACAGCAGTAACAAATTCCGTCTGCGATTGTTGTGCATTTTGGGCAGTTATCTATCATAAAGTATTCATGTGTTGTCTATTGCTTCATAAGAGAGGATCGCCCTTTAACCTCCTCTCAATAACAGGCCTTGGCTATTGTGTGTGCGTGTAATACATTTAGGAACAGATTTTATCGTGGGCACTACTAGGAGAACCTCCAATTCGATGGGGGGCATGCCATTCACCCTCCCCTCTACTGCCACACACCACTCAAGTCTTTCGCTACTGTACATTCTCGGGATTGGAAGCCTATACGACCAACAATGGGCGTTCTCCGTCGATAGATAATAACAGGCCATGAGGAAGACTCCTATATGGTATACTGGGTAACTCGACACTCTTCCGAGTGATAATGAGGCTAGAAAACAATAAGTTGTACAACAGAGTATCATCCTGTACGTTGGGGATAAACATTTGAGGTGAGACGACTGCCTTGCACAGCAGACAAGGACTCAAATGTAGCCAATTGCCGCGTCAATAAGGGAAAGAGCTAAGCAACAGTATACAGTGTTATTATTTACACTCCATCATTTGTCATTCCCTCGTCATGTTAGGGCCGATTCCAGGCCAGATGATCGCTGTAGGAGTTCCGAAACTTGTGGACGCGCGTTCTTCCTTCGGCACCTCCGCTTGCCTAAACATAGAAGCGTTAATTCATCGAAAAATGCATTGATGGGCTCAAATCAAAAGCAGTGACGTCTCAGGAGGAGATCTATAAGCTTCCGACCTGGGTAGGTAGACATGCTGCGGCTGATCCTTCCAGAATGCAATATGCTTCACTGGATCGTTGGGGAAGAAATGGTAAAAGCATATCCAAACCATAGGCACCGTGTACCAACTAACCCACACGTCCAACGTATAATGCGATCTTTGCGCCATATCAAACATACAAGTGCACAACATAGCAACCATTCGATCACCTAAGACAAGAAAACAACATTTATAAATCTTCTCAACTATCCCACCTACCATGAGCACGAGGCTTCGAGAGTAGTGAGTAACGACCAATGTCGCCAGCAAGCAGTACCTATTGGGAGCTTAGCACGGTGAATGATGGTAGCGGAAGGAGAGTTGACTACATCATATGGCTGCTAAAGACGAGATCCCCACACCCATTCTGAACATCAAAGCCAGATAACACCTGGCCGGCCGATGTGGGTGGACTGAAGAATGGTTCCAACGGAGCGTTGGGCGGAGGGGCCCTGAAGTAGAATCCTCAAGATCGTTAACACGACAACTGTCCCTACTCTTGACAATGAGGGGCCGGCGCCGGCAAAATCGTGACCAAAAAGGATATGCAGCGGAATAATATAGTGAAGTCACAGACGTTGAGCACCCTCCAGATTGCCCCTATTAGCGTGAAGTCATCCCGATCGCCAAATATAGGGGCTATCACCACAAACGCCACTGCAAGGAACATACACGTGTAGAGAACCTGTGCGAGCGGCATCAAAGTCACCATCATGGACAAGGCCTCCTACTGGGTTCTCCGGCGCGGGAGATACCGTCAATGTGTCAATATCGGGAAAGGCCATATGACCAAAGTCAACAAGGGCGTTCTCAGGACCACCATACACATTATATCTGAAGTCCACCCATGGCAAAACTGTATTGCAACAACCATGCTACTTTCCGCTAAGATAATACACCCAGTTATGAGCCCAGTCATGCAGGATTTGGAATATGATGCCGATAACTATCCATGGCCATGCTACTTTGAAGACCTCCCATTCTATCCGACTCTGACGATACAAGCGGTCGACAATGCCCGCAGTCACGGCGGTTACTACCTTTCTTAAGACCCGGGCAAAGTATGTTCTCGCCTTACTTGAATTGTTCATGTTGGCATACGCCGCCTGCGACTCCACTCGAGCTAATGACTGGTCCATATACTCGTTCTCGTTGTTGGTGGTGGAATTAGTCTCGGCTGCAGGATCAGCTAGATGCACTATGGACTCTGGAATGGTCAGAGAGAAGAAGTAGAGAAAGCTATACAAGTACTCAACAAGAACAACACAAAACAGTAGTGGGTTCAACAATCCTGGAAACCTCATGCCTCTAAGACTTCTCCATCTGTCCAAGCATCGGCCCCCTGCCCTCCTCCCCCGACGCCGCTCCATGCGACTTGCGCTTGTGCGAGGCCGCGAGGTACTTACCTGATACCAGCCTCATGCACCGAACCCAATCATCACCTTAATATACCAATTCCAATGGACGCTCCTTTCTGACAGTCCTTCATCACATCCATACGACACCGCAGCAACTGAGCCTTTTTCCTCTTATCTTCTTCCTCCTCCTTCTGAGCTGCCTCTTCCCTATCGTCTCAAACGGGTTAACCTGTACATCACTCAGCTCTTTACAGGTGAGACTAACGAAGACCTTACGAAGACTTGGGTCTTGACTATCTTGATAGGCTCAACCGGACGCACCTTCCCATCCGTCTCCGTCTCCTTCAGTGTGTGCAGTACCGTGCCTGCAACATGACGAATACTCAGACACCCTCTAGCTGACCACCATCGAGACCCGTTCACCGATCTGAAGGAGTGACTGACAAGTATCCCCAAAGATTGAGTCACCACCAGCCTGAAGATTTAGGAGTTCCGTAGTGTTTTCCCGAGGATATCAAAAACCGAATTAGACACTGTTAGATTGGACTATACTTGAATATAGGGTGGAGAAAGTGAATAAAGTGGATGAATCCACATTAGTGTATAATACAATAATATCAGTCATTGTTTACTAATGCTAGGTAGTACCTCCTCCCACAAATTTTGATCCTCACTCACCGGAAGTCATCCATCTACTTCACTCCCATCTTCCGCAGCTTCCTTCCACACACAATGACCATCAGCCAGCCCTATGAATCCACTGCTGCTCCCGTTCCGAGAATATTCGCCTCAGCGCATCACTACTACCGATGCATTCATTGTCGCCACCGCCCATCTCAGCGAGTTCCTTGACTCCCCCTCCGACATTACCACCAAGCTAGCGCGGCCCACATGTCAACTATGTCCCACTGTCAACTCAACGACCACTCGATCTCAAAAGTGTATCATTCTCGTTGAGAATGTAAAAACTTGAGCCTTCCGAGTACCTCCGACGACGACGACGCCAGCAGAGCGTTATCAAAGTTCATCATGGGGCTTCTCCTCTCCATCCTTCTTCGGACCATCTTCCTCAGCAGCATTTCCCGATTCGTCTGCCAACAGCGCATAATACACTACCTGCATAAGATGAATATCTAACCTGCTGCTTCTGAGTCGCCACTCTTCTCCCCCTCCTTCCCTTCTTCCTTAGATTCATCCCCCTGCTCTGCCTTCAATAGATCGATATACTCAGTGAGTAGCTCATTCGTATCTACAACAGCAATGCCCATCCGCTCTACACCCTTCCAGAAACAACCTACTCATCTTCTCCAGCTTGGATGCATCGTACGTAGCATTGTCGCGAGTGATGTTCCGAATCATCTCTCGAATCTTCTCTGACTCAGCAATGTCATTCTTCGGTGGCTGGGTAGGAGCCGGTTTCCTAACCATCAAATACACTCCTAGGATTTGGGAGTAGCACATTATACCGTTCCCCCCCCCAGTACAGAAGAAGAAATTGCACCCTGCCCGATACATCGAACTATGCTTGGATGGTAGGAAATGTTGCGCAGCACACGGTTACAGACAAGGCTCAGACGGCTACCCACCTTATCTTCAACAGCTGGTTAGCCGCCTTTCCAATATGTGCTAGTCGCTTCTTCACATCCAGCACCTTGAAGATCGGCTCCTCCGTTAGTGCTGTTGCATCCTGCTTCTTTTGCAGTTCCTTAAACCACACCTGAATATCACAGTGCACAAGCTTCACCCTACCCTCCTAATTTCCCATCCTTCCTCACTCAAATTCATCAGTATCATTGCTGACCTTCAAACCGTCTCGTTGGCCACCCATGTACGATTAGTCGATACCTGAACA